ATAAATTAAAATTTTTTTAATATTTTTTTATTAATCTTTTTAAAAATAAGATGGATAACAATAATCTCAAATTTTATTTAGTATCAGATAAGATTTGAGTCATTTTTCTCCTACAGTAAGTCCAATTTGGGGAGACAAAATTAAAAGCCAGAAGTTGGTAGTAAGATTCTGACCGTCCATTTTCAAATGCAGTCTCCGATTGAAAGCCACGTGTACGCCACGTCGTATTTTCTGTCTACAGCTCCAGTACCATTTCCTTACTACCTTTTTTTAAGTTTTTTGGGAGTCCATCACAGTTTAGTTTTCATTTCAAACCTCAAAACTTCTTTGTTTTTCCTCTGTTTTTTGACACTCCTTTTTTTTTTTGACAGTTGCCCACTTCTCAACTTTTCTCTGATCTTTGGACTGCAGAAGAAGACGAATCTTTGATTGTCACTTTCTTTTCTTTTCTTTGATGAATTCTAGGCCAAAAAGGAAAAGATGGGTAATCGATTTTCTCCCCTTTTGAATCACATTTAAACTCCCAGAATCTTTGAAATCTTTGATTTTTTGGCTTCACCAGCTGTAGTAGTCGTAGAATCTTCCTTCTTTTGAATTCATTGTGAGAGATCTCTGGTGTTCTTTAGCCAAAAGGCTGGAGAATACTTACTCCTCACAAAATATTTCCTTTCCTTTCCTTTCCTTTTCTCTGCAAACAATCCGGGAGAATTTATATAATGTCGTGGCAAAATCAAAGCTTGGAGGGAAAGAGCTGCAGAGTATGTAAGATTCGGAAGAGGGGTTGCTCTTCCTCGTCTTCTTCCTCTCTGGTTCAGAAGTACAGATTCAAGCGAGCAATTGTGGTGGGAAAGAGGGCAGGCTCAACCACGCCTGTTCCCACATGGAAAACGGGTACAAATTCGCCGTCCTTAGCAATGCCGGCTGCTGAGTTTTCCAAGGGTTCTCCCAACAAAGCCAAGGAAACCTCTGTTTCTGCCAGAAAACTGGCCGCCACTCTGTGGGAGATCAACAAAATCCCATCTCCACCAGCCCTTGAAGAGTCGGAGGCGGCCAGGGACAAGACAAATGCGAGGACCAGAGTGAGAGTTGCAAGAATTTCTCACACTTTGCAGCCAAATTTGTCGGATCCATCATATAGTCCGATTTCAGAGGTGGGATATTACTCTTCCCTATCTCTCATTTTCAATTTATTTCTGGGTTTGGCTTCTTTTTCTTTTTTCTTTTTTCTTTTTTCTTTTTTTCTTTTCATTTTGGTGCTGAATTTTGCAGAAGATGGATCGATATAGAGAAAATAGTCACAGGAGAAGAACTTCAGTTGTTTCGCAAAAGCTTCGACTTACTGATTATAAGGTGGGAAGCTCAGATTCCATTAGCAATGCCAGTGTTATGGAGGTAACATTTTTTTTCTCTATCTTACTCTCTTTTATTTTTCTGTTGCAGATTGTAGCATCTTAAATTGTTAGTTTTCCTTTTCTTTGTTTTATATGTTGAATTGGGTCTGGAATAATTTGCTGAAATTAAAAAGATTGAATAAGATATATAATACTGTGAAATGTGCAGATTGAAAGTTATCCTAGAGGCAAAACTCATACTGGAATATGTATGATTGGAAAGGAGACCCGGCTCAAGGATGTAAGTAATGGACTGATCACATCTAAACAACTACTGAAAGTTTTGAATCGTATGTGGGGTCTCGAAGAGCAACATTCTTCAGCTATGTCCCTTATTTCTGCCCTACGGATTGAGATTGATAGTGCTCGGATCCAAGTTGATCAATTGATCCAAGAGCAACGCTGTAATCGCGGTGAAATTGAGTACCTCATGAAGCATTTTGCTGAAGAAAAGGCAGCCTGGAAGAGGAAGGAGCGAGAGAGAATAGTAAATGTTACTGCTTGCATGGCAGAAGAGCTTGAGGTGGAGAAGAAACTTAGGAGGCAAACAGAGAGATTGAACAAGAAGCTTGGGAAAGAATTGGCTGATACAAAGGCAGCCCTGTCAAAGGCAACGAAGGAGCTTGAGGGTGAGAAGAGGGCAAAAGAAATATTAAAACAAGTGTGTGATGAGTTAGCCAGAGGTATTGGGGAAGATAGAGCTGAGGTGGAGGAACTGAAAAGAGAATCGGAGAAAGTGAAGGAAGAGATGGAAAAGGAAAGGGAAATGCTTCAGTTCGCGGATGTATTGCGTGAGGAGAGGGTCCAGATGAAGCTTTCTGAGGCTAAATATCATTTTGAGGAAAAAAATGCTGTTGTTGAAAAGTTGAGAAATGAACTTGAGGCCTACCTGAGGACCAAAGGAGACAAAGAAAGTGCAACAAATGGTTCTCCAAATCTGCAGCGGATCAAGGAGCTTGAGGCTTATCTAAGGGAAATTGATTTTGGATCCTGTGAAGCTGCTGAGAGAGAAAATGACAAAGGAGAAAGAAGAGATGGAGCAGATTGTGACTATGGAAATTATCGGATTTCAGTTGACTCAGTCGACAGTGATCTTCACTCAATTGAATTGAATATGGACAATAATAACATGAGCTACAAATGGAGCTATGCTTGTCCAAAAGATGGTCAAGGTGATTCGAAGAGGGTTTCAGTTGATAGAGAAAGTAAGGGGAGAAAATCTCTTTCTGAGAGAATTCCATGGGGAAGCATTTGCTTAGAAAGAGGAATTTCAAATTCTACCAATTGGGACTTACGCCCTAAAATTCAGGAAAAGTCTGATGGGTTGGAGAGGGAAAGATCATCTGATATTGCTTTTGCTTCACATGATCAGACGCAGGATGAAGATGAAATCAGGAGATACAAATCTGTTAAGAGTCTCAGAGATCACATATTATCTAGCAACAAGATAGCACCTGTTCAAAGCTTCTCCAGTCCCACCCAGCAGTGCCGTGAATCTTTTCATTTGCAGGATTCTGGCAGCATAAGCTCACCAATGTTAAAGATGGATTGTTTGAAGGAGAAACTAGCAGGTACAAGAGGCGAACATCAAACTTCAACAAGTTCAAGGGAATAAATTTTTATTTATATATTTTGCGTTGTTTCCTTGAAGATACTCTCAAATTTTCACCAGCTAAATTTTGTTTATCCTGATAACTTGCCAAACTCTAGAAAGCGAGATTGTAAATAGGATGCTATACAAGGCTGTATGATGAATCTGGCTTAACTTGTTAATGAATCTGAGCACTTTAGTTTGGCAGACTGTTTTCTTCTTTCATTGTTCTTTTGAGCATTTAAGTAGTAAAAGATGAAAGCCAGAACATTGCCTCTGTAAAACAAAAGAAGACTGAGAAGATATATCATTCTGATTATAGAATATGACAGCATAGAGCCAATGAGACAAAACAAGGTTAGTTGCTGCCAGGTCTACCCTATTGTGTGGAGCCAGCCTTAAAATATGAAAATGCATACATAACGCTCTCATGTCCTTGTGCTTCTTGCTCAAGTTCTTTGAATGTTAATCTTGACCAGCAGCTATCCAGTGGGTTAATTCTAGATTTTGTAATGCAATCTTCAATGATTGTCTAATATAATAACTCGTGTCTTCTGTACTTACTCTGGATTCAGTCAGCATCATGCATGTGATTTTATTCTGACAAACTGTATAGAATGAATTATTGCAGAACTAAAGTTCTCATAAAAACTCCAACACCTCACATGGCTTGTTATTATATGTTCATCTTATATTCTTATGCAAATAAACACTGGTGTCCCACACAGCAAAGTCCATCATTAGAGCAAAAGGCAGCAGCACATATTTGTGTCTTTCTAACAAGCAGACAGGATCAAACAAAAGATAACGTAAGTTGTGTGTCACAAGACATTAATAGAAGTCCATGGACCATGGTAAATTTTGAAAATTTTAACTACTGCTACTCACAAAGAAGCATAAACCAGAAAATTAGCAGTCAAATTAACCCAGAAGCAAATTAACGGTATGGAACATGTAAGGAAAGTGATTTCATGTATATAACATTGGCAGAAACATATATATTTCTATTGTACATGAGCTGATTCTTACTTAATAACCCGAAACATATCAAAATAACTACAAGTAGCTTACACAGACATCATTGTAAGATGGTGTCAAGGGCATGCAACCCAAATCATCCGTGACACTGAGGCGGAATTGGCCAGCTGAGGTAAAAGGTACTGTAAAAAACCAGAAAGAGCGTTTCAATTTTTGGGCCAGACTAGTAGACCAATTACGGTCGTCCATGAAATGGCAGGGCCAGTCTAGCACTGGCTCCAAACCAGTCTCGGGTGGACTCGGCCCGGTTGGCCACGCAAAATTAAGGTACCACCCGACAATCCATAAGTCCATTTTTATTTCAGAAAAGTGAAAAATGCCACCGCTTTAATATTTGAATAAGCTATTTACATATAATTAATAATTAATAATTAATATATAATATTAATAATAATAATTATTTATAATTTAAAATATTTAATTTTTTTAATTTGAATCAACACTTAATAATTGTTTAATCAATTACCTGTTAGTTCAATTAAAAAGAATTATGTTTTTCTTAAGCAAGATTTCAAGTTCAAGTATTATGAATAGAAAAACATGTATTAAGAAAGATTTAATTCGGTTTAATTTTGAATTAATTAAGATCTAATCGTGATTATCGGATATAAAGAGATTAATAAAAAAAAACACTTAATAAATGTTTAAAAACCATTAAAGCAAACACTCCCTGTATATTTATGTTCGGAAAAGAACCGGAACAAGTAGGATGCCATTTGACAGC